TCAATTGATTGTATTCGTACATACATACCAAAAATGTAATTTAATCTTCCATTGATTCGATTATTAACTTATTTAAAGAAAAATAAAAATAGCCACACAACTTACAATAAGAACCTAAATAACATTATACTTTCATAGTATAATATTTTATAACGATTTTGTTTTTCCAACTTATAGATTTTTTACTTATAACAAAAGAAAACAACAATATTACTAATAAGAAAAAGGAATTTAAATAAAATTAGGATAGAAAAATTAACAAAAAAATGAAAGCAAAATTAGCATACCAATACCCCACGTTTTCACTGCTTATTTGGCTTTTGTATATCAAGTTTTTTTTTTTTTTTTTTTTTTTTTTTTTTTTTTTTTTTTTTTTTTTTATCATTCTATAATCTTGCAGCAACCTGGAATATGATAACTTCATATTCTAGACAAAAGCTGATAACTTTTTTACAAACTAAGCACATGTATGGTAATATAAAATATAAAATAGCTTTATAGTATGCCAAATACATCGAGAGAGGCATACTAGTCACAACTTGTTGCAATGTGTATATAGTCAAGTTTAGGGTTTAGTACGTGTATGATTATATTGATTTATGAAACTCGTTAAGGGTTGGTGGCAAGTAATTTAATGTGTGCTCAATATTTCTTGTTTGGCTAACAATAGCAGCAGTTCCTGAGAAATCACAGCTCCTTGCAACTTGATTGTATTACACACTAAAGGGGTATTTGGCTTAACTTTTCAAAACCCAAAAATTCTTTTTGAAAAAGTTACAAAAAATCAGGATTTTATGACTTTTCCAAAAAGTTCATTTTTCTAGTATAAACACTCCAAAAGCATCTTTTAAAATTGTTTTGCCAAACATCTTTTGATTTTTTTCTTTTCCAAAAAGGACTTTTGAGCTATGAAAAGCTAAAACAAACACCCCCTAAGTTGCATCTATTTTTTTAAATGAAAAATAGACACGAAATAGATGAAATTAGGGTTCAAAATGAATATATAACAAGAATGCAATCGATAGAATGGTAATATTACTAATAAGACAATATAATGACTTATTATATAATGTTGATGGATTTAGTTGCTGACGAGAGAAAATATAATACAAACCTGCTCACAAATGTGAAAAAATTAACAGCCTTTGATACCGGATACACAATAAAAAAAAATTAAATAGTATACTATAAATAAATTTGACATCTTACATGCTTTGATCTTGGCATCCGATATTTGTTCAGTTTCACTAAAGTGTATTTTAAAAAAAATTTCCCCTGCAATTCATTTGGATTATTAATAGAATTATTAAAACAGTAGCAAAATACTTTTAAAATATATATATATATATATATATATATATATATATATATATATATATATATATATATTATATATATATAATATATATATATATATATATATAAGGTTAGGTTCATTTGAGACCACCTATATTTTGTAAGACCGTGAGACGCATTTTTTTATTTATTTTTTATTATTTTTTATTTTTTTAATTAATTCATGTTCCAAAAATAATATTTAAAAAAAGAATTTTTTAATTTTTCCATTTATTTTGCATTTTAAAATTATTTTTAGAATATGTACAATGTAATATTCTATTTAGAATATTTCACTTATTTTTCAAAAAAAATAGAATTTTTTTTATTTTTTTTTAATTTTTTTTAGTTAATTCAAGTTCCGAAAATAATATTAAATTTTTTTTTTTAGATTTTTCCATTTATTTTGCATTTTAAAATTATTTTTTAGAATATGTCAGTGTAATATTCTATTTAGAATATTTCAAGTATTTTTCAAAAAAAAAAAAACAGAATTTTTTATTTATTTTTTATTTTTTTTAGTTGACTCAAGTTCCGAAAATAATATTTAAAAAAAGAATTTTTAGATTTTTCCATTTATTTTGCATTTCAAAATTATTTTTAGATTTGGTCTCACGGTCTTACAAAATTAGAATGGTCTCAAATGAACCTGAACCTATATATATATATATATATATATATATATATATATATATATATATATATATATATATATATATATATATATGGGAAAAGTGAATATCTGGTTGTCATGTATGTCATATTAGGTATAGAACCATCAAAACTAACTTCATTTTAAATAAAAAAACATAATTTTCTTTCTCTGTTAGTTATTTTATATTGCTTTTGAGCTCATATTATTCCTGATTTCATAATTTATCTCCAACATCTATGTATTTCGAATGTGTTGTTTTTATTAGACTTCTAGTAGGCTTTATAACTTTCTTTGACACCTACCATATATATATACTTGCATGGTTCTTTTTGATGTGTTATGGGAAGAAGTATACTGAGATTTTAGTGAACAATTTTAATCTTTCACTATAATTTTCTAAATTAAATTTGAATATGAAGATTTAATTATAGGTAGTTGATAGTGTATTTTTATACATGGTTTGTGGTCCAAAAAAAAATATTTAAAACTCCATAAAAATATGTACAAAGCCTATCATCTACTCTAATAGTGAATATAAGAAAGATGGTAGAGAGATTTCATTGCATTTTGTTAAAACTATGTAGTTATTAGTGGTTCTATACCTAATATTAGGTACATAACAGCCACATATTCCCTAAGCCTATATATATATATATATATATATATATATATATATATATATATATATTGTAATTGTCCAATGTTCTTATAATTCAACTTCTAACTTGATTACTTCCAAGATTTTTTATCAATTTCACATTTATATTCCTCTTACACAATTTTCATTTTCAACTATAATATATATAGCTTAGTAGGTGTTTGGCAAAAAGATGTGATGTAAGATGAAGATAATAATGAAATTTCGAAAATTTTGAAAGTAAATCAAGTCAAGGGTTAAAGTTTAAGAACATTATAATAAATATATTAAACAAAATGACATATTATAATGGGTTTGGGTACCTAAGCTTATATACCCTTAAGGGTATATAAGCTTAGATACCCAAACTCACTATACTACATCATTTTGTATCATATATAGACATTGTAATTGTCCAATGTTCTTATAATTCAACTTCTAAATTGAATTACTTCAAAGATTTTTTGTAAATTTCATATTGACCTTCCTCTTACATAATTGTCATTTTCAACAATAATATATATAGCCTAGTAAGTGTTCGACAAAAAGATGTGATGTAAAAAGCAGATAATAGTGAAAATTTAAAAATATTGAATATAAACCAAGTTAAGGATTGAAGTTTAACAATATTATAATAAATATATCAAACAAAATGACATATTATTATGAGTTTGGATACCTAAGCTTATAAACCCTTAATGGTATTTTCACTTTTCCCATATATATATATATATATATATATATATATATATATATATATATATATATATATATATATATATATATATATATATATATATATATATATATATAGGATATAGATCCGGTAAGAAATTGTTTTTGGTAGGAAGGTAAGAAGTTTTTTTTCTACATATTTTTTTGACGAACAAAAAAATGAATCACTTGATGAATCATTTATAAGATGATTCACAAGAAAAAATTCTCAAAAAACATCTTTATAATTCATTTTTAAGTAAATTAACAAAAAATTAACTTTTATGACAATTTTAGTGAAGAACAACAAAATCATTATATAAGTGAATAATCGAGATGTTTTTTTGAGAATTTTTTCTTGTGAATCATCTTACAAATGAATCATCTAATGATTCATTTTGTTTGTTCGCGAAAAAAATATGTAGAAAAAAAAACTTGTTACCTTCCTACCAAAAATTTCCTTCTTATTTGATCTTGACTCTCTCTCTCTCTCTCTCTCTATATATATATATATATATGTATATATATATATATATATATATATATATATATATATATATATATGTTCTGATTCATTTAGGACCATAGTAATTTTATGAGACTGTAAGACGCAATTGAAAAATACTTTTAAAATGAAAAATAAAAGAAAAAATCCAAAATTCCTTTTTTTATTTATTATTTTCGTCACTTTTTTACCTAAAAAAATAAAAATTGAAAAAAAAAATACCGTTTTTTTGAAAAATACGTGAAATATTTTAATAGAATATTACACTATAAATATTTTAATGTAATTTTTAGAATGTTAGAATAGTAGATTAAAACCCGCATTAAACACGGGGAGCATATAAAAAAACATTGAATTGTAAACATATATTACATCATAGGAAGAATGACAATTAAAAGTAGATTACCATAGCTATTTTAAATTCGTTAACATTCATTACAATAGCTATTTTAATTTCATAACAATTAAAAGAATAAATAAAAAAAACTAATAAATCATAGAATAATATAAAATATTAAAATAGTTCATTAAAAAAAACAACTATGTTCAAATGCAAATTAATATATATATATATATATATATATATATATATATATATATATATATATATATATATATATATATATATATATATATAAATAACTAATATCGACTTGGCATAGTTACTGTATCAAAATGTAGAACGGATTGAAAAAACTTGTTGAGAATGATGTGCCGGAACCACATACTCAATCATATTTCCTCTAAAAAAAATATAAGGTATTGTTTCTATAATCTCACCATTCATGTGCACTTTCATTGTAAGTACTATCATCTACTTTAACCCACCGATTGCGAATGAAAATCCTAATAGCCCACGAACTATCTCCACTTATAGAGAGATATCCTAATTTTTCGTGAAACTTGATTAGTCTCGATGCATACAGTTTTAATTCATTAATAGTAGAAGGTGCAAATATGAGTATATGTTCTTCTGAATAAATATCAAATCGCAATATGGTATCATTAGATAATAAGAAGTGTACGGCACCGCCACCTGTACCTGCCTCATCAGAGATAGGATAAACAGATGATGGTAACCGGATATTTTGAAACTCCCTCCATTGCCATGTAGTAGATGAAAACAATTTGATGTTGTAGTAATCATAGTCCATTTTTTCCGTAGGCATATCACTACAAATAAAATAACATATAAGTAAATCATAAAGTAAATTAATAACATAAAATTTACTACATATAAACTCTTACGATGACTTTGTGTATGACAATCGAATGACCTTGAAATGTAACGGGTTCGAACTGATAACTACCAAAGCAAACTTTGTTGCAGTGTATTCAGAGGTCAGAAATGGTATCCATTTGGCATTTGAAGTCGTTGGTTTGATAACAAATAAAATCTTTGAAACGTATTCATCTGGATCATAGTATTCAAAAAGAAGGAGTCCACACAATGATGATGCTAAAATAGTACAAGTATGTGGTAGCCAATTAATGTCATGCTTGTTGCTACCAAAAGACGGAAGAAACTGACGCTCTATATTTCTCCATGGTTTTTTTTTAACGATAATTCCACAAACCACATTATTTCTACAGTTGTAGTTATGAAGAACATAGTTGTTGTATGTTAGATTTCCATAATATGTATTTGTACAACGTACAGTAGCAAATGTTTGTAATGATGTTCGTGAAAGAATATCAATAATTAGTTCAGAAGTCAATAACGATAACTGCAAAAGAAAGAAATAATAAGATAATAATATTAGAAAAACTTAAAATTTAATATTGGATGACATACGATTTTAATTGATAATAAGTATGCTGTTTGTAGCATTGAGGGTAAAGAATTTTACCCGATCCATTTTCATTATTTTTTCCAATTCATCAATGATTGTATTGTTAGATGTGATCCTTGAGATAACATAACCTTCTGTTTTGTTATTCAAATTGTCATGTGTAATTTGAATTTTGAACGCCATCTTTTTTTCCAATAGTATATTTAGAGCAGATGGATAAATTTCATTATTACCAACCTAAAAAAAAGAATGTTTATAAAAATAGATATACAAAATAATAATTTTGTTTTATGTAAATGAACTTAATATGTATAACCTTATAGAACTCATGAACCAACTCTTGCGCGTTTTTTCTTATAAGCTTCTTTGCGTCGGAATCATATAAAGTAAGTGACACCGAACCGGTAATATCTTCAACTATAATGGTGATTTTAAAATTGAAAGCATTGATGTAAACATATTTAGTAATATAAATTTATATAATTTAACAGAACAATATATTAATATTTATAAAATATGTTTCAAAACCGGGGAACAACAGAAATGACTTTGTTTATGCAGCTTGAAGTGTTACAATAAAAAACTTCTTTATCTTGAAAGTGATCATGATGGATTAAAATTTGTTTCACGACTTTCTGTTGACATCTAATACAAGTAAAACAGTACCATTCTCCTTCAACACATACTTGCTTAATCGTACCGAGAACAATTCAAGTTTTTTCCTAAAAAATGTTAATGGAAGTTTAAATTTTAGTATAAAATAATAATAATCAAGGAATAACATATAAATAATACAAAACCAATTTCTCATAATTTATATCTTGTAAATGAAAGTGATTTATATATAACTGATGTACTTGTTCGAGATCAACAATACTATTGAAATCAAAATTATGAAGGAAATCTTCATTTTTGGAGTAGATGATCGATGACGAAGAGCTGCTACAATTAGCAGTTGTGGTTTGAGCCATTTATCTGGACAAAAAACAAATATTGTTTGAAGTATATATATATATATATATATATATATATATATATATATATATATATATATATATATATATATATATATATATATATATATATAACCCGAATCTAAGATTGCAAAACATATATGAAGAAATATAGAAAATGAATTACCCTCAATGCAAGCTACGAAGTATTAGTTTGAAAATAAGTCAAAAGCATTAATTGCGAATGTAAATGATGGTAAATATTAAATAAACGATGCATTTTTTTTAAAAATATTTTATTTGATTTAAAGTTTTGTTAAATATAAAAATGATGAGACCTCCATATCTTTAAAATTGGATAACCGGAATTTTTTAATAGTAGACTTTTCATTTCAGATATACAAAAGAATTAATACAAAGTTGCAAACATAAGTTCCTACAATTAAAAAAAATACAATTCAAAGACATCAATTTAAAATTTAAAAACAAACAACATATATAAATATTTATATTTAATATGATATTAATTAATTAAAATTAAAAACGAAAATAACTTGTTTTTTATACGAATACATTATTAACCCTAGATATTTTAGGAACATTCACATATGTTTGTTATTTATCACTTCAAACTTACAACCTGATTCAAAATCAATAATACAGAGAGTATAAAGTGAAGACGATGAAGACAGAGCATTCAAAAGAATAAACGTACCTGATCTTGAATATCTAATTTTGAAGAGAAAAGAAGATGTGGAGAATAACAGAAAACAATGAAATTGATGAAGATGACGACAACAATAGAGGGCGGAGGTTCAGAGAGTAGTATGAACGAGTGCCAGTCAGGGACTCAGTGAGTCAGCAACAGGTGCAATGCTAAGAAGATGGTGAAATCGGATACTTGGGAATGACAACTGAGAGGGATTGGTGAGGTGTGTTCTAAAAGATCAAAATAATGATTTTTTGTCCTTATATTTATAACTGATTCGTGATATATTTTTTTCTTGATTTTCATAGTTTTTGTGAGATTTCTTTCCAAATTTTATAAAAAAAAATCCTCCCTAATCTTGTACATTTTTATATTTGTTTATGATCTGTATGCATGATAGCACTAAAAATCAGCATCGTATCTTCAATTTTATGAAGAATAAATCTCGATTTTGTACTTGAGTATGATCACGATCGCAACATTTTCCCTCAAAATCCCTGAGTAATTTCCAATCAAATCGCTATAAAATCATTTTCATGTGACAAATTACATAATCCATCAGCAAAAGCTTCAACGCAAGTTTGGATTTTGACCAGGGGCATCATAATATGAATTTCTTCACATGTATCTTTGTGTGATAATGCATTTGCATCACTTATTTGCTTATTTTAAAATCCTTTAACAGTAATCATATCATCTTTATTAACCCTTATGAACTAATCCTATCAAAATATAAAAGAGCTTTGAGTTACTTAAACAAAAAAAAATCTTTTTGTGCCAATTTTCATCCAAGTTTTTGACTATTATCTCGAGATGTATGCTTTTAACACTGCAATTTGACATCCAATGGGAAATCCATGAGTGATCCATGATATGTACAAGAGCTATTATACATAAAATGGAAAAATAGGATTGTCTCAGTGGTTGCAGATACCAATGTATGCTTGTTAGGGAAGAAGAAAGAGATAAACTTGGCGATACACCTGTCAAATATCATGGAAAATGGGAACTCAGACGTATGATGTTCGGTGGAAATAAAGTAGGTTGTTATGTATCCAACATTTTTTTGGGGTTGTTTCTTTATAAAGTATGATGTACTTACAGGGGTAGATTGGTCATTTTATCCTAATTCCATAGGAAAGATAGATTTTCATAATTTAAACTGATATTTTGGTTAAAGTTTGATTGGTTGAGTTAAATTTGAGTTGTATCATTTATTAGTCATTTTATCTCTTGCACATGGTTTATTTTCATATGTTTTGAAGCTTATGAATGAATTTGAAAACATGGATCTGATTCCTTCGTGTAAAGGACACTTTACAAGACCTTTCATCAAGGAGTTGGTTTAGATAAGGCTCAAAAGTTTTGAATTAGTAGGATATTTTAAAAATTTTTTGGATTGATTAATGGCAGTATGGAAAAGAACATCTATGGGAAAGTCCATGAGATACTTTAGGGAATGATAATTGCAGCCTTAGAGATGATGAAATTCTAGTTACATAAATGTTTTTTTTTTTTTTTTTTTTTTTTTTTTTTTTTTGTAATAATGTTATGTTTCCATAATGAACCACAAAATGAAAAGCATTTGGATAAGAACTGTTTATTTATTTATTTATTTATTTATTCTTTTTCTTTTTAAATATATGTAAGCATGCTTACTGTTTCAATTAATGCCTCCATGTTTCCTTTGCTTTATCTGAAAAGTTAATTTTTTTTATTAAAAATCTAAGAGTTCAGGAAATCACTTAGATAACATGCAATGCTACTGAAATTGTCTTCAATTTGCTGGATTCTTAGTTGCTACATGGTGTTCTTTTGACTATGGGAATTTGAGTTATGCTATTGGTATTAGCGAAGGGATTGGCAAAAAGATCAGTTGGTTACTTTTATCTTTGGTTGATAATGGGTACTGCTCTAATAATGCTCTAAAGTGAAATTTGAATGTTTGGAGATTAATCACAGTCGAATCATTTTTTTAAGGACAAAGGGGCAGTTTGGTTAAAATCTGTTTTGGTTGACTTTCAGACATTTTTTTATTTTCGTATACTTGGAGTTTGAATGACAAGATTGGTCCCGCCATTGCATCAGTGTAATCGTATATATAAGGTGTTTTTAAATAAGGAAATCATTATATTCTAAATTAGGATCCTAAGATATAAGTTTGGAGATTTTAGACTATTCATTTGGGAAAAAAAAGAAAGCTATCAGCTATATTAATTCAAACTTCAAATTAATTGACTTTCTTATTTAATAAGTTTTAAAATTCAAACAATTATCTAAAATTGATTCATTTTATGTGGAATATAGTGGGAGATAAATTATGAATAATATTGAATTTAATTTTGACTCTTAAATATTTTGTTGATTTAATGGGATTAGATTATATTTTATAGGTTAATATCTTAATTATTGATATGCTTGTTCAATGAGATTTAAAAAAAAAAACAAATAAATAAATAAAATATAAACGGGTTTGAATTTGGAAATCAAAACCTATAAATAATGGAGTTAAATTAGGAACAATATTAATTAAAGAAACTAATGTCATGTATATAAATAGAATGATATGTTTCAATTGATAAAATAATTACTGAATTTAAAGATTCTATAATTGTTACAGATTCTATAATTAAATGTAATTGTGTTTGAATTTTATTTGGGAATGATGATGTCAATAATTTGATCTAAGGATGAAAAACAGAGTAATAAAACACAATCAAGGGCCCTGATTGTTTCATAAGTGAATTAAAGGTTCTCTTTTAATAATATTTAGAGATTCTACTAGATTTGTCAGATATGTATAATATTATAATATTTTACTAGAATATGTAAAAAACAATATCTTTTGTAGTATTTTTTAAAACGTGTTTTGGAAAATATAAATGACGAAAATAATATTTGAAAAAAAATATTTTCGAAAATTTTCAATTATTTCGCATTTTAAAAATCTTTTTTTTTATCTATAAAATTAATAGCTATGATTGCATCTCACAGTATCACAAAATTAGACGGTCTTATATGAACGTAAACATGTATATATATATATATATATATATATATATATATATATATATATATATATATATATAAATTAACGTTTTTTTGAAAAATACGTGAAATATTTTAATAAAATATTACAGTATAAATATTTTAATGTGATTTTTAGAATGTTAGAATATTCTGTTAGATTTGTCAGATATATATAATATTCTAATATTCTACTAGAATACGTAAAAAACAATATCTTTTCTAGTATTTTTTTTAATTTTTTTGGAAAATATAAATGACGAAAATAATATTTGAAAAAAATATTTTCGAAAATTTTAAATTATTTCGCATTTTAAAAATCTTTTTTATCTATAAAATTAATGGCTAGGATTGTATCTTACGGTCTCACAAAATTAGGGGGTCTTATATGAACCTAAACATATATATATACACACATACATTTACGAAACTACTTGAGTTGTTGTTTCTTGATGTTTTTGCTTTTCCAAAAGCCTCCAAAATTGGATTAGTTTTAATTATCTCATATTCTCTTCTAAAATTGCATTGTTATCTTTGTTGCTTTAGTTTTTCCACTTTCACCACTAGAAAAGAAAAAAAAAAGTTTTATGAAGTTGGTCCTGTATTGGACTACAATTTAGAGAAACAAACACAACGTGAATTGAATAATCCAAGCTTCAATAGTTATAAAATATCGCTAAAATACTTACATAGATCATATCTTTATCATATATGTATTGAAACCTTGACTGAAGCTTCTGAAAAAAATAAAAAAATTAGCCAATTAGGTCATTTATCTGAATTCATTGAGGCTGTACTTCCCCATTTGGTTTGACCCCATGAAGAAAGAACATATCCTTAAGGAGAAACTTACAGATTAACATCTTCATAAACCATCGAAGTTTTATCCTCCATGAACAAAGTTGATCTATGGTGATCCATGAATAAAGTTGATCTGCGACCATATCATGAATCATCATTAACAATCTGATCAATGTTACCATTCTCGAGTACTCTGATGAGTTGGAAAAACAGAAAAACACAAAATATCGCACTTGAGAGTAATTTAAAGTAAAGAAGAAGCACCTGAGAGTTGAGATACCAAAATTCCATTTCTCGTGATGTGGTTCGTCGCCAAAATAATGGTACAAGCATAGATACTATATGGAGACGATGTTAAGAGATAATTAGTGGAGGCAACTTAGGGTTAGGGGTTCCACTGAACTTTGTGTGACGTTGGCGTTGATGGTGTCGGCAGGATAGGGTTAGGGTTTCTCGTCTTGACAGATAGTAGAAGCGGGGA